ACGCAACCCGTCGCTGTCTAAGGAAGCAGAAATATCTTCGTTACTCATAACTTTGGAACGCTGTTAATCTCAGATTCATCATCCGATCTATCCCCAAATGGTAAATCCCTAATTTCTCCATCTCTTCATTATCTCCGGCGGTAAATCCCTAATTTCTCTCTCGTTCCAGTTTATCTCTCTTCCTAATCTCAAAAATGCTGTGATTGAACTCGTGTGTAAAAAGGCAGATTCGATTTGATCGCCGGCAGGTGGTGGAGGTGGCTGATTTGTGTAATTTGTGTGTGCTGGTTTGTGTAATTTGTGTGGTGGTGCTGCAGATTGTTGGGTGTGTTTGGTGGTGTGCAGACTGCAGTGGTGGTATGTTGTCATGGATCTAATAATTTCTGTGGTGGTGGTGGCGATATTGTTGGTGCTGGAGATTGTCGTGGTTTTTGGTTTGCCGTCGATTGGTGAGGCTATGTTGGTGACGTTAGTGATGGTGGTTGTGGTGAGTTGCCGGATGTGGTGGCAGCGGCGGAGTTGGGTTAGGGCATGTAAGACGATGGTGGAAGTGAGGTGGTGCTGTGTAGTCTATATGACAAATGCTGTGACCTGAGCTATGTGCTGTAACCTGAGCCATGTGCTATGACCTATGCTATGATTGGAGCCATGTGCTGTGACTTGTGCTGTGACCATTTGAAAATAATCTGTGACTACTAACAAAAATATGAGACATGAGCTTTAACGTGTTATCAATCATTATAAACAAAAAATCATGCGTTTGTGACCTGTGACCTGGACTGTGACCTGTGACCTGGACTGTGATCCGAACTGTGACTTGTGACCTTATAAAAAAATTCATGTCACCGGAGTAGTTACTGGAATCCTAGTGTCTCCGGAACGGTCGCCGAAGAAGTCACTGGAGAGGTCGTCGGAATCGGAGTGGTCGCCGGAGAAGTTGTCGGAATCGGAGACGTCGCCGGAGCGGTCGCCAGCATGGTGGGGTGGTGGTGGTGGGGGTGGGTTAATTTTATANAAAAGTTGTTTTATTATTTTTGAAATAGGGTAAAGATGAGATAGAGAAAGTGAATTTTTCCCATATAAAAACCTAGAGATATATTTTAAAACCTATATATACCTAGGGATACACAGACGAAGGAGAAAAAAACACAGGCCGCACAGAAGGAAAAGGAAAAAAAAAGAGAGGAAGAGGAAAGAGGAAAAAGGAAAGAAAAGGAGAAAAAGAAAAGAAGAAAGAGAAGAGAAGAAAGAAAGAGGAAAAGTCAACAGAGAAGAAAGAAAAAAAAAGGCAGAAAGAAAGGAAGGCAAAAAAGGAAAAGAGAAGAAGAAAAGAGGAAGAACTGTCAACACTATAAATTTCCACGTTTCGTCAATTTTTGATGATATCTTTCCACTTTTACGCGTTTTTATTTTTACAGTATGAATAATTAATTTTTATATTAAGGAGAACAATTTAGTCAACTTGGGATCCTTTATTTTTCTATTCAAGATTTATGTGATTTATTATTTATGTGTTGATTTTATTATGAGTTTAATACATTAAATTGCGTGACCAATAATTTGATAATTACGTGAGTCTCTTACGAATTGAAAGGTGAGTTTGAGATTTAGACCATATAATAAAATTCAGTAAATTAGTATAATGTGTAGAGATACATATACTAATTATTGCGGTCATAATATAAATTCTTAGAACTAGTGTTCCATTTAATTAAAATTGATTCGCATAGAGATATGTAATCGAATTAGTTGAATAGGGTCAATGAGAACTCGATAGGGGTAAATTGAATACAATAGAAGAATTCGATCGAACACTACATTAGGTTATGAATCTTTAATTAAAAATAAATGTGATCAATAGATGAAATTATTTTGCCCTAATATTCATCACATATTTGAATTTTTAATTATCTGTTGTTTGCAATTATTTTATATTTTCAATTAGTAAAAAGTAGTTAGAAAAAAATAAACACAATTATCATAGATATTTACTTGCTTTTGTCAAATAGGAGTTAAGAAAAATTAGATTAAGTTCTAAGTATAGTCCTTGTAGGAACGATAATCCAGACTCAAATGTCCATTATATTACTTGTTACGATATCGTACGCTTACGATATAAAAAACGCAACACCCAGATCATCGGATTTCACAATTTCCCAATCTTAAGAAAATCAATCTACTTTCCAATTTCTCAAAGAACCAGTTTGTAATAATTTCTGTATTTTTATACATGGCATTTGTTATACAAACAGCTTATAATAATTCGAGAAATCACATTATTACCAATTCTAAATATAACTTTTTTTTCTTTATTTTTGATAATTGAACGGAGTCATAATAGCCGTCAATAATTATTTTTGCCTCTTCATTATTATGTTAGTACTGACAATATGATACGAATTGTTGATGAAGCATACATTAATCAATGTACAAAAGGAAATTAAAATCATATAATAATTTATCAGCCAATAATGCATAGTCAATTATTATTACTTACAAAATCATAGTCATTTTAAACTGTTAATAAAATGAAAATTCATTATTTAATCTTTTTTTTTAACATTTAGTTCCATTTATTTCTATATTTCTACTTGATTATTTAGTAACTAGATTTCATATAACTACAAAAAGTTATTTTAGTTTTCGTTATGAATAATTTTTCTACTTCATTTATAGTTTCTCCAAAAAAGTTCGATTTTTTTCTAAGATTTATTATTGCAATTATTAGCTCAAAAATGGAAGATATATGAAACTTTGATGAATAATTGGTGAGAGTTTCATTTCTTGGTTGTTACAAAAACATTATAACTATAAGAAACTCACCGCTTGTTGTTAAAGATTTTTGTAATTTTGGATATTTCGAGATACATATAAATGTGTAAATTCAAACGAATCACTTCTAAATTTCAATACGCGATCTTAAAATTTATTAATCTCCATATAACTCGATCTATAAAACCTCATTTTCCTTGTTAGTGTTTTTTGTAGTAATGTTTTTAAAAATATTTTATTATTTACAAGATGAAATAGTACCTCACCAAAGTGGATGCACATGATATTTCTACTTTCTCTTCAAAGCTAAGGTATATATTGCTATAGTGTCTTGGATTTTCACTTCTTTGTCACTCAAAGTTCTTTAGTACAATCACTAAATGTTGATGCCATTGCCTTTTGTCCTAACCATATACAAAGCATCAATCAAGTTCCTATAAGGTAGGTTACAATATATTAGTAGTGTCCGGTTCAACTTATTGAACATATTGTTAAGAGATTTGGTGAGCCGTATAATTTACAATTAAATGAAAGAACTGGTTTTGGTGCACGAATAGACTGATAAGAGCAAAAAATATATATATATACTAGTGCGACATTAGAGTCTAAATTGGTTTATAAAAATAAATTAAAATGTTCACAATATCCAAAAATATTTAATTATTTTCTCTTCGTCCAAACTTCGAATATAATATGGTTGATGATTATTGATACGTGCCAACTCAATAATGTAGGTGAAGAGAAACATGGTTGGAACAAACGTTTTTAATTGAAGTAAGCTAGTTTTAGAATAGAAAGTTGAAAAGCAAAGACAAGAAAATATAATTAAGGCAGCCGCCCATTTATTTTTTATGATATAATTCATGAAATTAATTAAAGTAGCTTATTCCTTAACTATTATTCTTAAGCATGCTGAAAGATTACATAAAATAATGGTCATTTTGTCATGTACCAAGACTACATGAGGGTTTAGGACTAAACAAAATCAACAATCTTATCGGCTTTGTTTCGTTTTGGCACCTTTTTTTTTTATTGATTTGCCCATTCATCTTGTATATACTAAATTCGTGTTTCATTAATAGTTCGACACACTTTTCATAAATGAAATGTCGCTAGCCTCGAGTACATAAAAAGATCCATTTCTTTTTTATTAGTTATATAAAAGCCCGTGAATAGAATACTTTCCGACGATATACTTTTAATTCATTATGCTTTAGCACCATATTAAATTCAATTATCTAGATTGTTTATATAAATTTTATTATTTAATATTTCCGTATACTAAAATAGCATGTAAATTTGTATGACCTCAAAATTCGACGTACACGTGGCCAATAGAATCCAGCCACCTTCCTTCCATCTACACACTTAGAACAGGAGCAATCCTATGTTTCCAGTGGCTCGTTTGTACTTCGACAATCAAGTCAATGTTGGATAAGAAATAATCAGTACAAGAGACAGGAGACTATTAGTTCCAATCCACCAATGAATTAATGTACCAACTCATTAGTGCTTAGGATAAGATGAGCACCGGTGCTCATTAGATCATTTCTGTATATATATATATATATATACACACACACATGGGTCCAAGTCCAAGCCTCCAATTAAATAATTGATGTTGAGTCGATATATATGGGACTCCTCCGTTACGTGTCATTAGACGTAACAATGAATAATTGGAGTTACAAAATCCGAACGCAACAACGATAAAGAAGTGATTTTACAAGTCACAAAAATGATAAGAAAGGCGAAGGAGTTGGATTTTTCTAATTTACTGAGACTTATCGTTGGGAATGAAATTGCTTACCCAATAGCAACAAAGGGGAGGGGTTCCCTTCCTTCACATGGTAGGGTAGGGAGGCGTGGGGGTGGTGAAAGGTACCGCTCTGAGTCTTTGGCCTTTTCACCTAATTAAAAAGTATTCTCCTTACTGTGAGGGGTCCGTTCTGCTCCCAATTCTACGTCTTTGCCTCTTACTCGGCAAATTTGATAGCGTTTAATTATCAAAATGCCAATGATACCCTTATCTTCCGAATTTTTGACCTTTTTTTTAGCAAAAATAAAAAGAATAGGAAAAACAATGTCTAAGCAGTTGGCTTACATATTTAAGTTCCAACGGCTCAACTGACCGAGTCATCACTACCAACTGTCACGTACTGACGAGGGACAATTTAGTAATTTCACTGTAGTTACGTACAATTTCGTTGCTGAAGAGATAGCGATAGATGGAGAGACCAAGTCTTCAGCTTCATCATAACATCATCAATAAAATTCTCGTTTCTTCTCCCACCAAAACTCTGAAATTTCGCCGGTATCTGAAATCTTTTCCGGAAAATGGGATTTCTTTCCAACCAATGAATTTCAACATGGACGATGAAGAAAGGAAACCAGGATTGAAACAAGCTATTGAGAACATTTCTTCATTGATTTCTCTGTCTTATTCAATCAAGGTTTTTGCAGTGAAATGGCAATCCATACGCCCAAAGCTCGAAGAGCTTCTTACCAACCTAACTGCAATTGAGAATTGTGATTCCGGTGAGAATTTTTCTCTCTCTAGCACATTAGAGAAGATTTTAATCACGCTTAAAGACTGCGATGACCTTGCCCGGCGATGTGTCGATTTATCTTATAGTGGAAAGTTGCTAATGCAAAGTGATCTTGATATTATATCATCAAAATTGGATAGTCATATCAAGAGACTTTCGGAAATATATGCTCTTGGTTTGCTCTCTAATGGCTATGCCATAGTGGTTTCAAGGCCTAATATTTCGGCTTCTCGGGACGATATGAGGTTCTATATCAATGATTTGTTGTCCAGGCTCAAGATTGGTAGTGTGGACATGAAGAAACAAGCCCTCGTTGCCTTCAATGAATCCATTCAATATGATGATAGATATGTAAAAATTGCAGTTCAAATTGATAGTTTCATCAATTACTTGGTGAATTTTCTCGATTTTCAGGATAATGAGGTTCGAGAGGAGGCTGCCAAGGCTGTTTCCTTCATTGCAGGAAGTCAACCCTTCAGAGGAGTATTGATCAGGGCGGGGATAATTTCGCCATTGATTAGAGTTTTGGAGTGTGGGAGTCAATTGAGCAAAGAATTAGCAGCAATGTGTTTGAATAAACTCACAGAGAATTCCGAAAATGCTTGGTCAGTTTCTTCTCATGGTGGAGTGTCTATACTGATGAAAATATGTAGTAATGAGGATAGTGCAGCTGAATTGGTTAGTCTGGCTTGTGGGGTGTTGAAAAATCTTGTTGGGGTTGATGAAATTAAGAGGTTTATGGTTGAGGAAGGGGTGATTCCGTTGTTTGTTAAGCTTGCAAGGTCTAAAGATGAGATTACACAGATAAGTTCACTTGATTTTCTGCAGGCTATGGCTTATGGGGATGAACTAGTCAGGGAGGTGATAGTAAAAGAAGGTGGAATTCGCACATTGGTACGTGTTTTGGATCCTAAATCATCTTTTTCATCGAAGACTAGAGAGGTGGCATTTAGAGGAATTGTGAATTTATGTTTCTCGTCTAATGGTTCTTTGAATATGCTGATAAATTATGGATTTATGGATCATATACTTTATTTTCTTCGATATGGGGATGTTTCAGTTCAAGAATTGGCACTGAAAGCAGCATTTTGGCTATGCGGAACATCAGAGGAGGCGAAAAAGGTAATGGGTGATGCAGGGTTTATGCCGGCTCTTGTTAAATTTCTTGACTCAAAACCATACAAAATGCGTGAAATGGCAGCTGAAACGCTCTCTAGCATGGTAATTATACCAAGAAATCGGAAAAGATTCGTGCAGAATGATCAAAATGTTGGTTTGCTTATGCAAATGCTTGATCCAGGGGAGGTCAATTCAGGTAACATAAAGCTCTTGCTTTCTATACTGATGTCATTGACCAGTTGCAATAGTGCAAGAAAGAAGATTATGAATTCTGGCTACGTAATGAATATTGAAAAGCTAGCAGAGGCCGAGGTTTCTGATGCAAAAACAATCGTCAGAAGATTATCATCGAGTAAATTCCGAAACATCTTAAGTGGGATTTGGCATTTTTGAATTAATGTAATTCCATTTTTATCGATTTTTGTTTTGTATATCTACATGTTAGTTCCATTTGAGTAATTAACCATAAACATGATTCCATATAAAACTGCACTTTTGATAATTGTCGTGAGCAAAAATGCAAAAAGACTGTTGTTTTAAGTTAGCTGGAATTCTTGTATGGTTTTGTGCCCAACTGCACATGGGAAGAGCATGAATTGGAGCTGTCATGTGATAAGTAGCCATCATGTTTTGGCTATACATTGCCTAGTGTACAAATTAATTGTCGTTGCTTGTCTTTTCTCTTCTATTATTTCTTTATTGTGAGCAATGTTTATCTTGTATGATCTTGATATGTTCGATGAGTCTTTTTTGCGGGTCCAAGCGAAAAAGAAGCTACATATTAAGCTTTTCGTTTGAAGATCTTCTTTAGCTAAAAACTCAATTTTAGCCTACTTAAAAGGCATTCGCCACCTCCTTCGGTGCCAAGTAAACACAAACGACGGAGTGGGGAAAAATGGGCAGGCTAAGAAGGCTTATTTATAAGCACATCCAAACATGCTCTTATATAATTTCGAGAAAAAATGCATTATTTCATTTCAGAAGTAGATTTATCGCGCTTGAAAATATCAGCTATCAAGCTTGGTGCTTAAGTTAAGGTTCTTGGATCACAACACTATCATCAAATAACTTAAAAATGAATTCGGACAAAAAATGCATATTTCTTAATTTGATTGGATGAAAGGAAGAAAACAGCTAGAATCCTTGTTATTTTTTTTCGAGTTGGAGAAATAGGAGTAGGGAATGGGTAAGGGTCAGTTATATATTGTGGCCAAAAGGGTCATTGACTATAAAAGAAAATAAATATTTAACCATATATAAGAATATTCGTTACACTACCTATTATTCAGAGAGGAATCCTTACATAGGCAATGGCCATTGACTCTACTGCCCTCCAATTTCATGAAGTGGTCATGCTAGAGACAAAAAAAATGTGGATGATTATGATATGACACGAATAAGCTAAGAGAATACCTACAATTATTATTTGTCTGCTTTCAGTTTCCTAATTGAAGAAATAATTAGAAAATAAACAAGTAAAAAATGAATGTTATGGCAATCAGTACCTTCATCTCAAGTTAAAGTTTAGTTTACTTTTTCAATACTAATCTCTTAGTTAAGTTGATGACGAGATTGATTTTTTGTTCGAGATTCAAGATGAAGAGGAACCACTGTCCAATGGTGTGCATCGGAGACTTATTACACCGAAAGCAAGGGATGGACAATGCATAGAGACGCATCTTGTAAGAGTGTAGAAAGCCGGTCCCAAATGCACTTTGCAATGATTAAATAATTGGATCAGTGACAAAAATTAAATGATGGGGAAATTAAACCTCTTGGACCATTTGCCAAATTGGTTGGCCTTGCACAAGAATTTTTTCTATATTTTCACCAAAATCAATGCACCATCTTCAGTTTCAACAACTTCAGCAACATTTGTTGGGAACTGTGGTTTCTTGAAAACATGAAAAGACTTTTCATATGGAGGAATGTGTAAAAAAGTTTGGACCACATTAAACTTTTTGTACTTTGCAGCAAATAAATTGAGGCATGGACTAGACAAATACAATGCCTAGAATGAAGTGACAGTATAACATAGGTATGGGCTGTGCTTATGTGCATTGATTTGGAGACAAGTCCAATAATATGATATGTATAATGTCATAATATAAGGGACTACATGGCATCAATGTATCATCAACAACCCTAACAAACAGTCACAAATATGTTAGAAGTAAAAATGAATTCACGAGTTTTATTCGAGCAATCGACTGGTGATGGAAGAACAACATTCGTTTCTTTACACACACATTTCAACACAAAAGTAAATCGATCCACTCAAAGCGAAAACCACAACTAACATGACTCGATAATTTTGACAAGCTTAAAAATATAATTTATTACAAAGTATCCTTGAATTTATGCATCTCCCCATATGCAGACCCATTGGCCTATAAACAGATCATCACAATCAATACTAGGATTAATGGCGTAGAATTTATCGTTGGACAAGCCAAAAGTGCGTATAAAAAGATCACACGTATTCCCTTTTTCTACTCCCAAAACCAGATAGCAAGTTGGACTCGAATCATTAGGCTCAACCACTGCGAATAAAATTAGAAATGTAAGTAATATTGCAAATTAAAATACAAAAAGAGAAAATGTTAAAGTAATACTGACATTGATAGGACTCATTAAACAAGCATGTAAATAATTATTACACTCAAATCTCAATCAATATATAATACCAAAAGACAATTTGGCCATGTTTGATTTGGAATTTAAATTCCATTTTCCACAAAATGACTTGTTTGACGTGTAAAATTTGAATGAGAATTGGTTTTCTTGATCTTCACCCACGCACCTTGTTTTCCCTTATTTTGGGACTGCTCTTTTTTTTTTTTTTTTTGAAACAAATTTCATAACAAATTGTAAAAAAAAATTCACTCTAGTGGATAATTTCTATATAAAACAAAGTCAAACGAACACTAAAGTTTGATGAAATTATTATTTTTTTACTTTTTGGCAATGTAAACAAATTTTATAACTAATTGTGAAAAAAATTATCATTTTAATGGACAATTTCCATGTAAAACAAAGTCAAACGAACACAAAATTTTAAAATTTTTCGGGTGGAAAATTATACAAATTAGACACACTTAATTAACAATTCCCAACAAAACAATTTCTAAACAATTACTTTATTTGGAATTCATTTTTTCCACACATTTTCCACCCTTACAATCAAACGGACCCTTAATTACAATTCACGGTAAAATAATTTTTAGGCAAATCAATTCCCTATAAAACATTTTCTTTCCACGCTTGCAATCAAATGGACCATTAAAGATTTAATAAACTCACCATGTAGTCTTTTATGAGAGGGTGCTAAGGCTTGAAATTTACGAACTTTCTCATTAATATTGGACTGGCGAATGTTCTCACTAACATTTTCACCCTTAACCATCGAAAACAGAATAGAAGACACGGCAAAAAGTATGAAGCAAACACAAGTAAATGCTACTGTTTTTGCCATGTTTCTAAACTCTTAGCTGGAATGGTCTTAATATAGTCCTTCCAATTTCCTCTCACAAATACACATATATATTATCATAACCCAACAATGGTACAAGTACAAAATGACATCGAAAAGAACAATGTAGGAGAAAAAAATGTTACATTTCGAAGTAAAATGTAACACTTTTAACATGTTCCAGTAAAACAGTTCTCTTTTTAGCACAATTATGGTTCAAAAATTTTGTTTTAATGAAGATGTAAGCCCCTGTTTGAGTCACAATAAAATTTTCATTCTCATTCTTCTACTCATTTTCAACCACACATTCTTCAATAAAATAATATTTTTTATCACGTCAATAACTTTTCCTTCTTTTTCAACCACACATTTACTATCAATCTATTATTCCAAAATACATTCTTCCAAAATAATATGAAAACTTTCTGAAAATGAAGATGTTACATATGACATAATTCTTATTTTTATAGTCACAGTTATATCGATGCACGCTTATAAGTTTTTCATCAATAATTCTTGTTTTATGAGAGGAAATGAAAGAAAAAAATAGAGTTTATTGAAAACTCTTCAATTTCAACTTTCAAATCACCCTTGTAATTCTTTTCCACAAGTTCCAAATTGGAAATTTTCTTGTACTCTAGTTATCAGCCCTTCTCTTTTATTTTTATTGCAATAAACCCACTATTTTCCATCTAGACAAGAATGTGCCAACAGAAATGAGTACCACAACTGTCGAGAATTTAGAGTATATCTGGTTGTTTTCACCTAACCTTCTACCCACCCACCCCCTTCCCAAAAAAAAATAATATTTTATTAACTCCATAACAAAAGAATATGCAAACAATAAATTCTTCATTTATTGCAAAATTTAAAATTGGCAACCGAAAAAAGTTCATCCATATAATTAGGAGTGATTAAACTCTTATCAATTATTAGGGACATTGGTTATGAGGAAGTTCCCTCTGCTTCTACCCCAATTCTTGTTTAATTTTTGTCATACTACAAGTTTTGTAAACGAAATTGTCACCAGCTTATTTAACCTATGCAAACCAAATTACAACATCATAAAACATATACACAAAAAGCCACTTCATCGATTGTTCTTACTTTTTCATAAACTAAAGACATATATCACAGAAGTGATTTGATTTGTGCACAAACCGGGCTCAATTTCAATTATAAACCGAATATCAAACACCAATCAAAGAGAGGCTCTAATCCACAACTTTTTCTATCAATTGAGTTGCCACTTTCTAGCACCCACAAAGGACGCAATATCGTGATTAATTGCAGCCACGAAGGAGGAGAATTATAGAGTAGCAATTGGTTAAAACTCAAGTCAAAGAAGGGAGAAAATCAACCAAAGACGGCTGCCTCTGTTTTTCACTCTCTTTCAATTAAACCACACCACGGCTGAAGCAAGGAAGCAAATAATATAGTTATAGGTACTGTCAAGTTGTGCCAAAGACTCAATGAATGGGCCACAAACAAAGACCAAGACAGAGCATGAAATGGGACAACACAAATGGGTCTTCCACAAGTAATTAATAGGTGTGGAAATTAGTATATCAAACTCGTAGTCCAAATTTCAAGTGAGAACAAAAATCAAGTATTGATCTAATGCTTGAAAGGTCTAAAAGCAATATCTCACCCAATTCAAAATACCCCTCAACCACCCCCTCTCTCACTCCTCTCACTCTCACATGCACAACCCACAACCCAACAATTCGGCGGAGTCGATGGGCCGACCGCCGTAACGCTTACCTTCTCCAAAGTGACTATCGACTTCTTCAGGTGCACAATATGGCGGTGGAGTTGATGGGCCGATGGTTGCAAAAATTATGTTCTCTCTCTCTCTCTCTCTTTCCTATTGCTGGAGTTGCAGTGGTGGTGATTTTCATGTTTTGGTGTTCGGATAGTT